CTCCGTGAAATAACTCAGACAGGGAAAGACAAATACCATATAATTTCACTTATATGTAGAAACTAAAGAACAAAACAAATCAAACAGAAACAGACTCATGGGTACAGAGAACAGGCTGATGGTTGCCATAGGGAAGTGGGGCTGGGGGCTGCGTGAAAGAGGGGAAGGGATTGAGAAGTACAGACTGGTAGATACAAAATAGTTATGTGGGTACAAGGTACAGCATAGGAATATAGTCAATACTATTGCAATAATTATGTATGGTGGCAGGTGGGAGCCGGAAATATGGGAGGAGCACTTTGTGAAATCTACAGTTGTCTGACCATTATGCTGGACATGTGAAACTAAAACAAAGTAATATTGAATGTCAATTGAAATTGAAAAATAAAATAAAAATTAAAAGTACCCTCTAATCATGAAAAGATGAGTCTCTTACTGTTTTTATTTTCTCTCATGATAAACACTCCCTTTGGCAGTGCTACCATTAGTAATTTACTATTTTTAAAAAACATTTTTCTAGGCAAAGATGAAATAGCATACTCAATTTATTAAAAGTCTAAGACTTTATAAATCAAAAGATTGGTTTTATAGAGCTGAAATATGGTTTGTATTTTCATTAACTCATCAATGAATAAGTATAGTGATGAAATAGCAATACAAATCAACTATTAAGGTTATAAAGAGATTTGAAAACTAAGGCATTAAGGCATAAGCATTCACATTTATTACCTACATTGATGGGATTCAATATATAATTGAGAAACTAACCACTTCATTTTTTTCATCATAGACAAATGTGTAGGTGTATTCTCTTCACTGTCAAAGTGCTAGTCTAGAGACTAAATATCTCATAAAATGTCACACAAAAGAGCAGGTTCTGGTTCACAAACACCTTCCTGTTTGTCATAGCTTAAAGGCAGATCTTCTAACAATACCACAAGCTCCTTAAGATACTGCATACTCCTTAAAGGTGGTAAACTTATATTTAAAAAAGCAATCATTTGTAGGGTGCTCTGTGATTAAAAATAGTCACATACATTATATTTGAGCTACACAATGAACTCATAAAGTCGTATTAATTTTCTCAATTTACAGATGGGGAAACTAAGGCTCAGATAAATTGTGCCTTGTCCAAGGTCATAGAATTTTTAAGGGTGAAGCCATGAATAATATAATTGCTGAAACAATTTACATCATAGTCTAGTGAGGGTGCACTGATCAAAAAACGTTTATTTAAAACAACAAAAAGAGATTTATTAGGGGAGGACTTTAACTTGATCTTAACTAATAAAGTCCACAGACATATATGAATTGGTCAGGAAATTTAATAGGGAACATATAATACTGGTGATTCAAGTCCTCTTACTATGATATGATGCTTTCCAAAAAGCAGATGATAAAAATAAGATATGTGTTTTTATTAATGATTAGTGATTTAAGTGTATTTTTATGAACATTTTAATTGGGTAATTTATTTATAGTGCACACTGGAGATAAGATAATCTTTAATTTTTAGTTTCTCTCCACAGAATAAGATCAAAAGGCAGAAAAAATGGCTGGATTTTTTCAGCGATGTATTTTCCTTTGTCTTGTAAGCCAGAGCTTCCAACAGATAGTTAAAGACGTAATATTCCCAGCTATCTCTATAGTGGTTATAAAATAGATTTACTTTGAATTTGCAGTAAATTCTTAGACTCTGTTTTTCCAGCTAAGTCATTTTTCCCTCTTGATAACACAATGGGAATATTAATTTCTTTGAGCAATGAAGATCTATGAGATTCCTAGGATAAATATTATGAGGCTATAATCTTATTGACAAAACCAGTATCTGGAAAACAAACCCTAGAGAATTCACTCTGTGTCATTTTCTGGTCAAAGGGCAGGTTAGTATACCAACTAAAATAAGATAAAAGCACAATGTCTCACCAACCTACATAACTTTTCCTTAAAACCTCCTTGGTAACAAAAAAAAAAAAAAAAAAAGGTCTTTGAAATCTAACAGAGATGTTCCTGCTTCAATAATTACACAATCCATCCTTTGAATCTCCATTGCAATTGATCCTTTGTCAATAACTACCTAAAGAATTATAAGATCATGAATAGATAAATTGACTTATTCAAATCTTATCTGGCACATGATCAAGGGATGAAATCACAATCTACTGATAAAAAGACTTGAGCCTCTTACTCTGATGAAGAGAACATTATATTTCTACTGATAGAACAATTATTTCAGAGTTGATACAACTCCACAAGCTGTGAGACATTTTTAACCTGTCAATTTATGCCTCTTAAAGGAAATCCAATAACACAGAACAGAGGACTGAGTGGACATTTCCTGTTTCTCTGGAACCCAGGCCAAACGATGGGGACAGAAAAGAATCAAGCACTCCACTTTCTAAAGCAAGTTTCAAAGTGGGAGCCACGTAATCTTTCAGAGCTTCCTAATAGGCCAAGGGCATCCTCACCAAACCATTAGCTGCCACTCTCAAGAGAAAACCAGTGAAGAGAAAGAGAAATTGTATCACCAGAATGAGAAAAGAAAGAGTCCAAAAACTAGGGGGTTCCCAGTTAAGCAAAGTGATCTTGATCAGCTGTAAAGGATCATGGACTTCAGTATATGACTTACCTATCAGAAGGTCGCTCAACAAAGAGGACTTGTCAACCAAGCAATGTGACATCAGAGGACAGCTTAGGAGCATAATGGGTGCCTACACCCGTCCCCCCTCCCCACCACCACCATTCACAGCTGCCTGAGCTTCAAGCATCTTATAGGCTTAGAAACAGATGGGACGAGGAGGCCCACAGGCAGCTTCAGTTTAGGCCTCAGGCCAGACGAGGCTTAAAAGAGGGCTGTCCCTGCCTTAGCAGCACAGCGTGACTACTTGATAAACAGAGAATTTAGATCCAAGACTAGACAGATGAGAAGGCAAAACCCAGAGAAGAAAAAGAAACCCTTGAGTAGGACTGAATTTTTAACTGAAAACGACTCATAAATCCCTAAGGTTGTTTTTTTTTTCCATTTATACGAAACCTCTCAAGTTTATCAATAATGAGTCACAAGAGCTCATGATTAAAAATATTAAATTGGGTTACAGAAATATAGATACAGATACAAATACCTGAGATTTTGCTTGAAATTCACAGATTTTATTAGAATTTTTTGTATTAACTATATAAATGATTTATTCCAGATCAAAAATCCAAAATATTGGCTCTGACAATAGCAGGAGATTTGTAGTAGACTTTCAAACCTGTCATTGGTAACTAAGTACACATTTAAATGAAATGCAATTTTAACAAAGCTTCAGTTTAAATTTTCAAGTTCTGTCAAATACTTGACACCTCACAATTGTACAAATAGAAAAATCTGGGTATCCTTCTTAATCTTCAACATTATTTTACATTGACGGAAAGCAATTTTACTGTAACTTATGCTATCAGAGAACAATGAGAAATTGAGAAAGGTAGGCCAAGGGTGGCTACCCTTCTTGGAAGAGTCACTGGTTTGCTTATAAATTCTCACAAAATCTTTCCATATCAACTTCCATGCCTTTGTAACTTAATATAAAATGAAGCAGCAAGTTCTGAGTACCACTGATTTATTCAGCCTTTACACACTGCCCACTAGATATGACTTCTGTTTTGATCTCCACTACATCCCTTGCACCTAGAATAGTCCCTAGCTTATTAAACATACACTGAAATAAAAAGCAAATATTTGACTATTAGATGGCTCAGTGCCAAATACAGAGGAGGTGGTGTTATGGGCTGAATTCTATCCCCTTAAAGTTCCTGTGTTTAAGTTCTGACCCTCGGTGCATCTGAATGCCATTGTACTTGAAGGTGGATCCTCTGAAGAAGTGAGTGAGTTAAAATGAGGTTGTTGGGGTGGGCCCTGACCTAATGTGGCTGCTGTCCCTCTGAGGAGGGGAATTCAGATGACAGACGTGCACAGAGGGGAAAACCTGAGAAGACACAGTGAGACGTCAGGCATCTCCGTGTCAAGGAGAGAGGTCTCAAAAGAAACCAATCCTGGGAGAAGCGTCTGTTCAGGTCCTCGGCCCATGTTTTAAGTGGATTGTTTGTTTGGTGTTGAGTTGTATGAGTTCTTTATATATTTTGGATATAAATCCCCTGTCAGAGCTGTGGGCGCACAATGCAACATGCAGACCATGGATCACATGTAGAAATGTACACCTGAAACCTATGTGATCTTACTAATCAATGCCACCTCCATAAATTTAATTAAAAAAAAAAAAAGCCAATCCTGCCAAAACCTTGATTTTGAACTTTGAGCACCCAGAATTGTGAGACAATAAATGCCTGTTGTTTAAGTCCCCCGCTCGGTGCTCCTTTGTCATGGTGGCCTGAGCTCACACACACAGGCACTTAAGGAACTGTTTTGACTGACAGATGAATAAATAAATACAGGCATAGAATTCCAGAAAAAAAATGTAATTTTTAATAAATGTTACATTTTATCATGCAGCAATAATGCAGCTATGATAATGGTGTTGGGCCCCGTTGTGGTGAATTAAAAGCACCGATATCATTACTTTCAAGGTATTAAAATGACATTTGTGAAACTGTGTCAAAATGGTTTTTCTGTGAGAATCTGTCAATGATCATATCAACAGGGTGTTACCTTGCTACGTTTCAAACCTGATCCAGGATCACTGGTTATATTCTAAATTATTAGATCCTAAATAGAGGCAAAGTCAATAATATGAAGAATAATGTATCAAACGAGGATTTTGAGGGTATTAAGCTACTTAGACTCCTGAGAAACTGTGATTTTGTCCTTCCAATTATAGACAACTAAAAAGGTTTATGGGATGTGGGAGGGATGGAAGACTAGGACTATTAAACTACAATAGAAAGATGGAGGACCCGGAAGAAGAAGTGATTCCCAGAGGCGGAGTGCAGGGGAGCAGCAGCGGCGATCGCAGCAGTGGAGGCGGCAATTTATGTGTGTGCAGCCCCCATCTAAGAAGAAGATGCTAATGAAAGTGAAGACGCTGCCCGGAAAGGAGATTGAGGTTGACATTGAACCCACAGACAAGGTGGAGCGAACCAAGGAACGTGCGGAAGAGAAAGAGGGAATCCCTCCACAGCAGCAGCGGCTCCTCTACGGTGGTAAACAGATGAATGATGAGAAGACAGCAGCTGATTATAAAATCCTAGGTGGTTCAGTCCTCCATCTGGCGTTGGCTCTAAGGGGAGGAGGTGGTCTCAGACAGTGATGGACCCTCTCTCCACTTTCCCTCTTTACCCTGTTCCTCGTAAGGAGGCATCTTATATCCTATCTCTCTCTGGAACACCAGCGGGACTGCCCCCTCTCCTGGATGCCCAGTCTTGTGTGTCTACTGGTAGGAGACTGTGAAGACCCCAGGATGCAGTGTTTCTGGCCCAAAGGGCCCTTGCGGGCTATTGGGTTTCAGTTTGCAGACCTATGTGCTTCCTTCTCTTATGCCTATGTCCCTGGTTTGCAATAAAATAAAATATAAAAGACTCCTGGCAGAAAAAAAAGAAAAAGAAAAAGAAAGATGGCTTAGGAGTACCCATGCGTCTTTTATTGCTGTTGATAAATCCTTCAGTGATCTACATTCAGTGAGTGTGCAGAGGTTAAACTATCAATGACTAAATAAACATTCAACTTATTCTTGATTTTGAAAGAAGCATACACTTGTTTAATATTATAATTTTTGGTATGCAAACTTCTCCGAGATGAAAGCTATGAATAACCACAAAACCCAGTTACAGAGTAACATGTTGCCAAAGTTCCAAACCTTTAAAGGTCAGTGAGAATCATATCCTAGAGGAATGATTTTAAATCTTTTTCATATCATGGCACACATTGTTGTATGTGCTGTTGTCATTTTTTTATTTGACAATCTAAGGGAGAAGAGGTCAGTGCTCTTCCTAGTCAGGTATTGCATGTTTTATAAATTCTTGCGGCACACTGGTTGAAAATCATTCTCCTAGAGGAGCAGAATTCACATTGAATGTCATTATTTATCAGAGAAATGACTGTAGCCAAAGGATATTATTTAATTGTTAGAGACTTAAAATCTATTATTAATGTTGTTACATGGATTTGAGTTTAGTGTTAGGATCATCTTGGTTATATTCTATCCACTCATCTAACTAGACAGAAAATAGAGCAATGCAACTGCTTTGGAAGATTGTGGGTTGATGACATTTGAAAAATCTAAAATAAAAGTTAGGATGCCTTTTGTTTAAAACCAAAGGTGCTAATGGTAAGGCAACAATGAAAACAGTGTAATTTCCTCACATACAGTTATGATAAAAAAAATTTGTTGTCTCTTAAGTAAAGTGTCCAAATGCCCAAAGCATGTCAAAACCTATAATGTTGAAATCTAAAACAGTGCAGTGAAATTCTTTTGTAAAATAACTCCATACATTGACTTGCTCAGAAACAATTACTTAGTCTTTTCCTCAATTCATTAGCTAATAATCATATGAACATGCAAAAATTATGGTTCATATAATGACAAAAACTCAAGGTGTCAAGGCAGTGAATGCAATGCATAGACAATATGAGATGGATATGTCAGACTCATTGGCATGTAAGAATGAAAAAGTCGGTAGAAAACAGTTATTCAACATTATCCTTGAGTTTGCAGGCTGGGAGGCAACTTTGAAGTCTAATTCAAAGAAGTATATGTGATGCAACATACTCTAAGCATATTGTTATGTGTGAATCTCAGGAAATTTGGAGCATAAATCACCATGATACTGGCCTATTGTACACTGGCCTGGGAAATGTCTTGGTTGCCTGTAGGTTTCCAAAATAAGTTGCAACAATTTGTTCACAGATTGGGACATCCTTGACCCAATCATTCTGGAAGCCATAAGACTATGTGATCCCCTTCTTTTATTACCTGCATACAAGCTCTCTTGATTTATATGTCTGTGGGTTTAAATCATGCCTCTGTTGGCTCCCAATCTATAGCCCAGACTTCACCTTTAAACAGACATATAATTAACTAGCTTATGGACCTCTCTACCTTTGGGGATGATCCATAAACATATCAAACTTATCACATACAAAACTGAATTAATAATCTTTTCTCAAATTTTGGCTCTTACTCCTGCAGGGAGATGGCACCTTCAACCATCCAGCCTTCACATATAGAAACCTAGATTCAACCCAAATCATTCCTGTCCCCTCTCTTCACATCCAAGAAATCCTTATATTGCAAATTTTATCATATTAATATTTGTATAAAGTGTCCTCTTATCTTCAATCCCATTATCAATGTCCTAGTTCTCTTCACTTACCTAGCATCCAACAACTTCACCTTAAATTACATCTTTATAGAATAAAGTTAAACATCTTCAGACAGATGATTTCTATAATCTGATTGCTGCTAATCTACCTCCCATCTTTCCTTATAATAATACTTGCTGACTTTTAAGTTTCACTAACCTTTATACGGTTTATGTCCCTTACATTCCATGCTGTTACTTATTTTTATACCATTGCTAAAGTTGTCCACTGGACGTGAAATTCTCTTCTTTTTTTCACATGAAATATTTCTGCTTAAAGGATAAGATATGCTGTGGGCATTGTTTCCTTGAGGGAGTCTTCTGTGATCCCACCTGGACTGGGTTATATATCCATACACAGTACTCTGTATTTTTTAAAGATTTTATTTATTTATTTTTAGAGAGAGGAGAAGGGAAGGGGAAAGAGAGGGAGAGAAACATTGATGTGAGAAACATCAATTGGTTGCTTCTCTGATGTGCCACCAACGGAGGACTGAACCCGCAACCCTCGCATGTGCCCTAACTGGGCATTGAACCAGCGACCCTTAGCTTTGCAGGATGATGTGCAACCCACTGAGCCACACCAGTCAGGGCCAACATAGTACTTTCTTAATAACCTGGTGTAAGCTTCTTCCCCTGCATTTCCACATTATTTCATTGGAGTCTATTTGTTTTCTTTCTCACTTATAGAATAGGACCTTGAAAGAAGGAGCTATAACTTCTTTACTTAAGCCCCTTCTGAAACTATTAATTCAATGCCTTACCTTCCACAGGCACTAAGTAGGTAGTGAGTGAGGAAGAAATGAATTAATTAATGGATGGATTAAAGAGAGATTGATAGTTGCAATGGATGATATAGTTTTTCTTTTTATTCCCCCCCGTAAAAGACTCAATTTTTCTCTAAATTCTATGGCTCTTTGCCCAAATTCACATATTTGGGCCTGCCTAGACTTAAATCAATCACCAGGAGATTCAGTATTATGTCTTAACTTTCATCCTGATGAAAATTATTAGAATAATTAGTAACTTAAATATGTTCTAATAAATTGGGCTGAATGATCATCTGATTTTAGTCTCATTTTTTCTAAAAACATAGAATGTCATGATTTAATAAATGAAGATAATATTGACCAAAAAACTTCTTATCTATTTTTAGAAGCAAATAACCTTTTAACTATATTTAGCTTTTAATTTTAATTTTTTGTTTTAGTTCTCTTTGAAGATGAAAAACATTAATTGAAAAAAATTAACAAATATTTTTATTCAAAATTCACCAAAATAAGTGTAAGGTAAGCCAAAATAATTAATCTTTCAAAAGATTTGTTGTATTTTGCAGCATTTCTCTTTCCAATGTAGTTTGAAACTATTAAACTTTTGGGGACACTGTGTGCCTGGATGTTCTTTGAAGATGTACAATCATTATTACTTTTTCAATAATCGAGTCAGTCTCAGAGATATACACATATTAAATGGAAAAATGTCCCAGAACAGGGTGGAGGTTATTAAATATGTTTTTAAGGTGGCTGTCCTGGGCGTGAGTGGGAGGCAAATCCACTCTGTGTCTGAAATATTTCAAGCAGGTTTACAACATATTCTCTCAGAATCCAATGCTGCCCATGTCTTGGACCCTACGCTTTCTTTCCAGATAATTATTAGCTATATTTTCTCTCTTTCAAAACAAATAACACACCAACAAGACACCCTGAGTCTGCAGAGAAAACAGTTTACCTATAAGAACCTTTTCGTTATGTACATTTTCAGCTCAAGAACATATTCTCTTAACAATTTAACAGATAGTTGGAAAGAATTATAAAAGGTACTAACCTAAAAAAACTATCGCAAGGTATATTGCTTCCTGAGATTAAAGAAGATATAGAATACCTTCCATCTTTAAATCCCCATTTTGGTTAAGATCTGTTTCTGACATGACGGCTCTTCTGAGGTAAACTGCTCCTCGCAGCCTGGCATCTCCTCTGAGTCGGCACTGAAGAGGCTCGCGTGACCTGCTGCCGCGCTGCAGTCCGTTCTGCTGAGCAGAATCCAGGGTGTAAAAGGTGGAGGGGATTGAGGAGGCATATAGGCAATTTTTTAATCATGTAAAACCAAACTCCCTAAGAAAGAGAAACAACAGAGAGGAAGAGGTAAATGACCTAATGACTTGGACAATAACTGACTGAGATTTGACTTTCCTGGGTTTCCTGCACTCTGTGGTCATTACTACTGCAAAATGGACTCCAGAGGGAGGCCACTTATCATTTAAAACTGTGGCCCAAAGGGAAGCAGAGCTCCTTTTCCTTGGCTCTTTGACATGTAAGTAAGGATTTTGTAGTCAAAATAATTTATTCTATGCGAACGTTTCCAAAACTGTATACTCCAAATCATGGGACATTTAGTTCTCTTAGTGTGATGTGTACGTTCTGAAAACCAGTGTGCCGTGCAAATGTCCTGCAATACAACCCATGGAGCTTATGGGAAAAACTGGGGTTAGACACACAGCATGTATAAACTTCATCAGTGACATGTTCAAAAATAGATGGGAACCTAACAAAAACTGTAGAACAATTTTATACATATTTAATAGTTAAAAATACATAAACCTACAATGCATATGGCACTTTACCTAGAAAAAAGACCTGCGTGAAGTTTGCTTGAGGAGTTGCGTATCAGAGGTTACAGCCTGTGAGGCATTATGGTGTGGCAGAGGGGGATTACCTGAAACCTCAGGAGATGTTGTCACATCCAGTGTGGAGGACTGTGCTTCGTAACATGTGCAGTGAGCTGAGGCAGCTGGGAAAGGTTTGAGGCATTTTGTGGGCCCTCAAGCGTCTCAGGTGAGCTGGGCACAGTTTCCCATCTTGTTTCTCCTGTAAAAAATTGTACAAAAACAAACATAATGTTTGTGTCACACTTAAAATACTCCCTGATGCATCAGTCAGGTTTAGAACAAATTGACATTTTTCAAAATGAGCATTATCACAGAGCTGAGTTCACTAGATACTTGAAAAATAAAAGTGGGAGGAGATAGGTCCTATGTTCAAATAAGTTTAGGAAATAAGTTGATTTTTTTCTAGTAAAAAATTTCAGAAATTTTATATGCTAAGGTAAACTCAAACTTCAAGAAGGCAGTAAGTTTGCAGTATTTTTCGAAACTACTTGATCTTGGAATCTCTTCTTTAATCTGTGGTACAAATAATATTAACATCTTCTAAAAATAATATTCCCTGTAGCACAGTTTGATAAATACTTCTTTTCAGTAATATTTCATATTTACTGTTATAAAGTATAAAACAGGGATTTTACTCATAAGGGAAATATATTATAATCTAACTCAATTTTTTGTGTATTAAAAAGTCTGCAATAAATTTTTTAAAATACCATTAGCATGCCTAACATTGCTGGGTGTATTTCTTTTGGCTCATAGAGAATTGAACTATGACAGAGGATTAAAATTCCTCCCCAGAGGTAACAAAAATGTCACCTTTTCAGCATAAGTAACCATATAGTCAATACATTATAAATCTACACCAAATGCTTATATTTGAAATTTTAAATGCGTATGGTTTACTGGGGTTTCAGTATGATCATGTTTATAAATAAAAAATCCTCTTCGTGAAAAGCTAAAAGAAGGGAGTTTTGTTTTAAATTGCTAATTTTACCTATTAATACCTTTTACAAAAGAAGGATGATTTTCATTTATAAATATAAAGAAGAGCATTCCAAGCAAAAATCACAATACGCGCGGAAAAAAAACCTCTAGTGCGCATGCGCACAGCTGGGTTACGAGTTTGACTGCAGTGAAGGGGAAGAGCCGGAGGCGAATTTGGCAAAAAAGAACAGGAGGAGTCAGGCACACTGGTAGAATCAAAGGCACTTTACAAGAGATTGCATGTAGGGATTTTGGACAAAGACAGAAAAATCAAAGATCCTCTGAATTTTCAGCTTAATCAAATGGAAGAATTATGCCACCCAGAGAAGTGAGAGCACAAAGGCAAGAGTTGATTCAGGACGATTATACAGTATTAACTCTCCGACACCCAAACAATTCGGTAGATTTTTTTTTTCCCTGCTGCTTCTTTATTAGGTAATTCACTGCTCACACAAGTCCAAAAGAGGAGAAAACAAGGATTTTCATGGGTTTTCTGCTTGCAAATAGCTCCATTAAGAAGTTTAAAAGTCAAGTTAATTAATGCTGCCTGCTGTTAAAGGTAAACTCCAGTATTTCAGCAGCTTAACACAGTCGTATTAGTTGCTTGCTCATATCACAGATCAATTAGTTGGTGGGCTCGGGTGTGGAGGGTGTTGGAGGTGGGGGTTCTGTTCTGTGCGGTTATCAGAGACCCAGGCTTCTTTCATGGTTTGGTTATGTGTCATCTGTAACATGAGACATCCTACAGTCAGGGACTAGTAGATAGGAGGACAATCAGGAGGGAGATAGCAGAATGTCCATCATTCTGACTCATTAGCTACAATTCAGTCATAATACCCACCCCCCCCCCACCAATTCTAGGAATGAATGGAAATGTTAATTTAGCTGAATGCTCAGGAATAATTTTTCACATTGTCTCTGTCACAAAGGGGAAGAAAAGCCCTTATCTAAATAACAGAGGATGTAAATTTTTTAAAGTTATTTTTAAATTTTTTATTGTTAATATACATTTGTCTCCATTTTCCTGCCACCACTTCCCCCTGCCCCACCCACTCCCCTGAAGTAATTCTCTTTTATAGTCCCTGTTACCAGTAGCCACAAACTCTACAGAGCAAAAACAAAAACAGTCATAGCAAGAGAAAAAGAGAAAGATGCTGTGTACAATTTCATAACCTGCAGTTTAATTAATTTGAAAAGTAACTTTGACACAAACTTAGCTTAAACCAAACATAGAAACTCTGATAAATAACTAGCCTGTACTTGTCTTGGCTTGACTAAAGCTGCCAAGGTGTGTGTGGATTTAATTCAAAACTTTCAATAATGGAGATAGAATGGCTGCCTGAAAAAAATTCCAATTTCTCTACATCCTCTCCAATACTTTCTCTCTCTCTCTCTCTCTCGCTCTCTCTCGCTCTCTCTCGCTCTCTCTTTCTCTCTCTTTGATAATGGCCATTCTAACAAGTGTAAGGTGATATCCCATTGTGGTTTTGATCTGCATTTCCCTGATGATTAGTGATGTTGAGCACTTTTTCATACACGTGGTGGCCGTTTGGATACCTTCTTTGGAGAAGTGTCTATTCAAGTCCTTTGGCCCTTTCATTCATTCATTCATTTTTATCCTCACCCAAGGGCATGCTTATTGATCTTAAAGGGAGGGGAAGGGAGGGAGAGAGCAGGAGGAAAGAAACATCCATATCACAGAAAAATATCAGTCACTTGCCTCCTGTACATGCCCCAACATGGGGACTGAACTCACCATCTAAGCATGTGTCCTGACCAGGAATCAACCCTGAAAACTTTCAGTGCATGGAACGACACTCCATTCAACAAAGCCGCACCGGCCAGTGTCTTTGCTCATTTTTAAATAGGGTTATTTGGGTTTTTGCAATTAAGTTGTAAGAGATTCTCACATATTCTGGATATCAACCCCTTATGAGATAGATGGTTTGCAAATAGTTTCTCCCATTCTATAGTTGCCTTCTTACTCTGTTGATTGTTTCCCTTGCAGTGAAGAAGCTTTTAGGTTGCTGTAATCCTACTTGTTTATTGTTTGCTTTTGTTGCCTGTGACTTTAGTGTCAAATCTAAGTCATTGCCAAAATCATTGTGATGGCATTGTTGCCCAATGGGTGTAAAGTTTTGGTCATGAAAAATGAGTAAGTCCGAGGGATCCACTGTGCAACATAGTGCCTCCAGTTAATACAGGACTGTTCACTTCAAACTATGTTAGGGAGACAGATCTCATGTTAAGTTTATTACCACAAAACAAAAGAAGAAGAATACCAGGAAATTTTTGGAGGTTATGAATATGATTGATACCTTGATTATGATAATGCTATGGTGACCGTATCATGTCCAAACTCATTAAAATGTATACATTAAATGTGTGCAATTTTTGTATATCAATTATACCTCAGTAAAGCTTTAAGTGCTGAGTGCTGCCCAGTTATGTAAACTCTGAGTTTAGAGTAAGTATAGTTTATGTTAATGCTATGTGTTTTTTAATTATTGTGAATGAAAATAAAACTTTTCCAGCTCTGATATAAGAAATTCTATGATGGAAAAATATCAAGTATTAGTGTATAAGAAATAAACCCCTTCTTGAACCTTTGTTAAATTGCAGCTACCTACAGAGTTCTTCCATTCATAGCTTATCTTCCTGTTATTATCAAATATTTACTCTGTGTTTCCGGCATTTTAAACTGAAGCATTCCTGCCTGGCCTCTTAATTCAAAGAAATTTAGAGAGAAAATAAATTCAATACCCTGGCCAAAAAGCAGCGAGCATATCTATTTCAGGAACACACACATACGCACATAGCGTGCACACATCTTCCTTTTAAGCAGGAATAGACCTAGGTGCCCCTAGATGGCTTGTTATGAAATCAAAGAATGTCCTCTAGGAGCCAAGTTGTTGTCCTGGAAAACTTGCAAAGGGAAAGTCATGCTCTCTCATCCTGCTGGCTTACCGACTGTACAGCCTCTGCATCTGACTCGGTGTTGCCCTGCAGTTTGTGTCTCTGAACATCGTCAGTGTCTCAGGCTTCTGCAGAGCTTGGATTGGTCAGACAGAAGCAGGGGAGGAGCCTCTCTGAACAATTTTTTCCCTCCACACACCATAAAATCAGCAGCAGCTACTAACACTCCAAGCACTGCTTCTGGCGGGAGCCTCTGAGAAGCAGCTGATGTGAGCATGTGCACGCAGATCCGTCTCCCAATGGCACGGCAGCTCCCAGGAAAATTCTTTTGAAAAGACCTGAATGCCTAAGACGAGAGTTAAAGTGCAAGTGAGAACAAAAACGGCAAACAGCAGACTCTTTTGACCGAAAAGAAGCATTTTGAAGCCAAAGATTTTAAAGTAATACTGATCAGAGCAGAACCTGAAAGAGACTAAAACTTGCATTTCAAGCTTCGGAGCATGTGACATGTACTTACAACAGGCATGCCAGTTTTAGCCTCATAAGGGACCGAGAAAGACCTGCAGGAAATCACGGAGCTACCTGACCCAGGAGGTGAAAGCAATTCAGGAGGGACCTGGACCCACTAACACAGGATGAACTCTACCCATCGCCACGGAAGGTACACTTCTCTGCACTTCTGGAACCACAGCAGCTACAGACTGCACGGCAATGCCAGTGACTCCCTGGGGAAAGGCTACTCCGAGGGAGGGTGCTACGAGCAACTTTTCGTCTCTCCTGAGGTGTTCGTGACACTGGGTGTCATCAGCTTGTTGGAGAATGTCCTGGTGATCGTGGCCATCGCCAAGAACAAGAATCTGCACTCCCCCATGTACTTTTTCATCTGCAGCCTGGCTGTGGCTGATATGTTGGTGAGCGTTTCGAATGGATCGGAAACAATTGTCATCACCCTGCTGAACAGTACAGACACAGACGCCCAGAGTTTCACCGTGAACATTGACAATGTCATTGACTCCGTGATCTGTAGCTCCTTGCTTGCGTCCATTTGCAGCTTGCTGTCCATCGCAGTAGACAGGTATTTCACTATCTTTTATGCTCTCCAGTACCATAACATCATGACGGTGAAGCGGGTTGGGATCATCCTCAGTTGTATCTGGGCAGCTTGCACCGTGTCGGGAGTGCTGTTCATCATTTACTCGGACAGCAGTGTGGTCATCATTTGCCTCATCAGCATGTTCTTCACCATGCTGGCTCTCATGGCCTCCCTCTATGTCCACATGTTCCTCATGGCCAGGCTTCACATTAAGAGGATCGCTGTCCTCCCGGGCACGGGCACCATCCGCCAAGGTGCCAACATGAAGGGGGCCATTACCTTGACCATACTGATCGGGGTCTTTGTTGTCTGCTGGGCCCCATTCTTCCTCCACTTGATATTCTACATCTCTTGTCCCCAGAATCCATACTGTGTGTGCTTCATGTCTCACTTTAACTTGTATCTCATCCTGATCATGTGTAATTCCATCATTGACCCTCTGATCTATGCGCTCCGGAGTCAGGAGCTGAGGAAAACCTTCAAGGAGATCATCTGTTGCTATCCTCTCGGCTCTGTGTGACTTGTCCAGCAAATACTGAATGGGGACAGAGGAGACACTAGAAACATGCCTAAGAGACTTTTCCACTCTTAGAGAACCTGAACAGGGCACTGCAGCAACAGCTCTTTCTTCTGTGGAGGGCATAGGTTGAGAACGTCTATTGTATAAATTCTAGTTTATGATTTCTGATATGAAAAAAAAATGCCCAGTCTCTGTATATTTTTAATGTCATGCTGCTGTTGGGTTGTGCAGTGTTTACATGAAAATACCTTTGGCTGTTGAATGTTAATCTATATTATAAATTGGAAATACCGGATTTACAGAGAAGAGAAAAAGTTCTTATTTAAAAAGTTTAACAATGTCTCTTTCTTGTAACTCATAAGGATTTGACACTTTGCTTGTTTTAGTAACATGGAAATCACAGCCTTGCTGAATATTCTAATGAATGGCTTCTTATATTACACTGTACAATATTGTAAAGTAGAGATTTGATTCTCACATTTAAGGGAGAAAATATTAAAGAATAAATGCTTAATCATTTTTAAAAATCAGCTGAAGGTTCAAGTAATTTAGTAAAACATGTTCATTCTCCCTGTGCACAAGTAGAAATAATGTTCCTATTGACCAAAAAAAAAAAAAAAAAAGCTACTGAAAAAAAGTGAAATTGTGAGTCAGAAACTCTGTGTTTCTTAAAGACAGAGAGATGAATTTTTCCCATGCAAACTGTTCGATATTCTACTCAGGCAGTTCAGTTTGGGGTAGGGGGTCAGGGAAGAAAGTAGCTCTAAGGATCACAGTCTTCTGGAAAACCTCAGTTAACACATCAAGCTAAACTTTCTGATACCAACCTCTTTCCAACCATCGTAATCAAAACTGGGAATAAGGTCTTTCTGTCCCTTTAACCAGGAACCCAGCGTCTGCTGAAATGACCAGGAAAGGAGGCAATGTCCTGAGATCTGGCTCCTGATCTCAAAAGAACATGATTAGCATTGAGTTTTTTCACTTTTCAATGGAAGTGACTTGCTCTTTACTCATTGCTTATTATTTTTTTGAACTGGAGTCTAATTGCTCACTATCAAGGATTTTAACTTTATATATAAAATCTATAGCACAAATATTTTCAGGCAGCATTTGTGACTCTCTAAATTCTAAAGTAAGGGAACCCCTGATGCAGACACATTGGAGCAGGAAGTAAGGCACTTACTCATCCCCGGTGGACAGCATGACATCAATTAACCTTCTACAGCCTCACTGTGGAGAGTAAACACTTGTTTTGCTCAAAAATGATCCCACCAGTTTGGCTACTGAGCAACATGACCTGTACTTTCCAATTTGTGTGTACTTTAAAATAGAGAGAAAATGTATTAGGCTGGGGATTACCAGTAAACTATGCTTTGGTTTAATTCATAGTCTCTCCAAATGCTCACAGGCAGAGATAACATGCCAAGATACTTCTTACTTCAAATCGAAATGGTTTACACATTGACAAGTCCTGAGAAACACTTTCAGCATTCACGCGGAAATATTACATTAAGCATAATGGTGACATGCAAGTTTACCAAAGAAGGGTGGTCCTGAAGCTTGACTCACAGCACTGTCTCTATTTTAACACAAAAATAAGTGTGAGGGTTTTAACATAGACTGACATAACAGTCAAAGCCCAAAGCTGCAGCCAGATATGAACTGTGTTGCTGTCTTTGCTATTCTTCCTCTCCATTCTTTTCTTTTTTTAAAATTTTATTTGTTTTGGTTTTTTCTTTTTTTTACCTCCCCCGAGGACATTTTTTTTCCATTGCTTTTTTTAAAGGAAGGGAGAGAACATTGATGTGAGAGAGGAGCATTGATTGTTTGTTCCCCCTACGCCCCTGGACCGGGGATTGAACCACAACCTATGAATGTGTCCTGACCGGGAATCAAACCTGCAGACTTTCGGTTACAGGGACAATGCTCCAACCCACTGAGCCACACCGGCCAAGACACCCTGCGCATTCTCTAATGCAGGAATTATGAGAAATCTTAGGAACTCGAGATACGAATAACAAAGCTCAAAGTATGCCCCACCATCTGGGTGGCTGCCCTTCCAGTGTATTTATTTCTCCTTCGAGTGTTGTTGCAGACACTGCTGGGTCCATTTAGAACCAGCCCACTTCTCCCACAGGAAGGATATTAGCTCCTTTGTCTTCACATCCATACCTCCTCCTGGAGAAGTTTAGTATAAGGATGAGAGTTACTCCTGAACCTTCCTTGCCCCACCAGCTGGGTTCCGTGCATGCCCAGGACACAGTATTAGGATTCAGTTTCTTTAAGGGCTGAGACTACGTCTTACTCATTTTTCCTGTCCTCCCAATATCCTTCTATTATGTTACTACTTTCTCCAGTAAAACCAACCTTCCACCAGAGGGACCCACCATTATTACCCAAAGCCCACAGTTTGCATTAGAGTTTAATTACTAAGGTGTTGTAAAGTGTATATATGTTTGAACCAATGTATAATGACATGTATCTACCACTGGCTTTTTACACTTGGTAACATGCATTTCTTTTTAGTGATGAATAATATTGCATTCTATGGATGTAACAATTAATTTATGTATTCATCCACTGAAGAACATCTTGACTGCTTTCAAATTTTGGCAATTATGAATAAAGCTGCTCTAAACCTTTTTGTGTTGACATAAATTTTCAACTCATACCAAAGCACAGGAACTAACTTTTTAAAATTTCAGTATAAATCCTGTGATGTTTGTGTCTACCCTTTACTACTTCATTAGTTAGGATTTGAATTATGCTGGTCAGGAATCGCCAATCCAGATATGACTGTTAAACAGAATCAGATAACTTTATTAAAATTTTCACCAGAAAGTCTAATTAATAATCATAAGGTATATTAGAAATATTTTCTCATTGGTAAAATGAGTGATCTTCAAGACTTGTTAACTTAAAAAGTTGGATAGTAATCACTGCAACCTGCAAAAAAAAGGTGCAAGGCACGTGCCCACTTAGAAGCAATTCTAACATTTAGACTCTGTCCAAACTTCCAAATAGTCCCATGTGTCCCTCACCTGCTTTGAAAAAGTCTCTGTTGCCCATACTAAATATTTTCAAATTACTAAAAAAATTTATTTAAGAATTATTGATATTATGTAAGTGCTGTCTTCTGTTTTATGTTACAAGGAACACAAAAAACAGAATATTTAGTGTGATGCCAACCATTTAAAGAAAGTATCACCAATCTGCTTATCCACCTCCTACCTAGTACTTTTTATAAATTTTAAACAATCAGTAGCCATTATCCCTGGGTAATAATATTAAAGGACATGTTTACTTTCTTTAGTATGTGTTTACATTATATAGGTGTACTACAATGAATACAGTATAATTTTTAAATTTTTAAAAAGCACACATAAACATGACAACAGAAAGATGGTGATAGAAATGCAGTTGCCAAATTACTGATGATTTGTGAAGAAAGAGGGAATGGAAAAGACGTTAGTTTTAAATGAGAGCAGATCTCGAATATCATCCCATCAGACCCTCCAAGCAGCCTCAGAGACTGCCCCTCCTCCCGTGGCAGCATCAAAACCCGTGGGAGCCAGTTCCTGGCCCTTCTCCGGATTTCCTGGTACCAAATCTCAAGAACCTTCTTCTGTAGACAAGCACAGCTTTCCCAGTCAGAGAGACCTAGGGCTGAATTCTGGTTACACCACTTTCTGTCTGTCAGATTTTGTTGAAGTTAGTTTTCTCTTTGTTAAATGTGTAATAATCATACCTGTCTGATGGGAATCTTAAAAGAATAAAAAGCAATTATAATATCAAGTATGTAAAGTTCCACAAACATATTGGCACTCAAACTGGTGATTTTTAGTATCTTTAAAAATACAAAGTAAATGGACAAACCTATGTATGAATAAAGAAGACTTACTAGTTTTGCTATCTTTTTCAGACTCTCAACATTATCAATAAACATATGAAGGCCTTGGGATTAATTATATATCTTAAGTCACATTTAATAATTTTCTTGAATTTAACTTTTTTTGTAAAAGTGGATATATGTAAACATAGTAGGTACACAGACATGCCTGAATTCTAAAAAAAAAATTTATTACCAACCATGCTAATTGTTTTAAATTTTGCAGTGCCACATTAATACTGAAATAAGATATTTAGAAAGATAATGTCCCAAATATGAAGTAACCAGTTAGCTTATTTCTTCACAGATTAATTGATATTCTTTAAACTTTATGTTGTAAATTTAAATTTTAGCGCAAAAAAAAAATTACCTAAGTTGACGCCCCTGATTAAACTGTAAGCCCCTTGAAAAGAACATAAGTAATAAATTCAGTTACATCTTGATGCTCAGTTATTAGTCCATCACATATTGATCAAAGTTATGTGCACAAAAGTAGAAAGAGGATAACATTTGCACTAAGGAAATATTGGGCTCAAATCTCAGATTTATCAGCTCTAGAATTTCAGAAAAGCTACTCACCTTTCCTAAGCATCTATAGTCTAACCTTTGAAATAAAGATAAAATCCATCATCTCCTCATATGTTTAATGATAAATAGTAATTATGTGAAATTAGATAATGATATAAGGGATCTAGTAGAGTGCTTGTCACCATATAGATCTATTATTGTAATGATCAATGAAATAAAACCCAAAAGAGCTTAAACCCCAGAAGAGATTAAATGACAATACAGACTTGGATATCCTCACTTTATTATCATTGAGAGACAGGAATTCATTCCAATCTATTTTCAGTATTTCATTTAATTCTAACAAGCAAAGTAAGTAAAAATAAAGTTCTGTTTATTATTTAAGTATAAAGAAAATTTGAACATTCCAAAAAAGAAATTCAGGGGAGGTAGAGGGTGGAATTGGGTAGGAAGACACAATTTGTCTCAACGGCTTCAGTAATGTTCTAATCCTTGTGTTGAATCATGGGTTTAATATACACCTTGATGTTATGCTTCACAACTTTGAAATACATAAAATCCTTTGTAGACTGTCGATATTACG